AGATACTAAAATTTGAATTTTATATTAATTTCACATGACAAAAAAAATATTCCTTGGATTTTTTTCGGCCATTAAAAAAATTTAAAGCTTTTTTAGTTCCTATGCCATAAATACACTGTCTGAACAATGTCATGAGCTGTGGTTTGCGGGCCCAACATAGATGGATAACAGACAATATGTTGAACCAGGTAACTGCCATTTTATTTCTAACACCTCATCAAAAACAACCTTTTTGGACCTTGAAAGGTAGAATCAGGAAATGAGGAATTTGAAGAACAAGCAAAGTGGGGGGACAGTCTAAGATACCAGTGATTTCAAGTGTAGCCTAAGACTGTAAGAGAAATGGTTAGAGATGATGCGGCAATCGCAATCGGTGATCTCTGAGGAACTTTAGGAAATAGAAGGTTTTAGGCGCTGGAGAAGAGAATACAATCATACATTAAAATAAAAGTTACTGAGCTATGACCTTGTTGTGATTGTCAATAAAATTTTAAAGAATATCATAGGACAGGTTGTTGTTGTGGTTGTGTGCCACTGAGTCAGAGCCAACTCATGGCTGACCCTCCAGAGGGTTTTCAGAGGCAGTAAATCACATGGGAGGAGATTACCCATTCTTCTTCTACAGAGCGGCGGGTGGATTTGAACTGTGGGCCTTCGAGACTGCAGCACAGTTTCTTACCCCTAGTCTGGGGTTGGTAGTTTGTGAGAATTCAGACAAAATGTGATGTGATCACCTGGGCCAGCATAGCTTATCAAGAACACCACAAACAAACAACCTGTCTTGTGTAGTTTTATTATTACAGAAATAATACATGTTATTACAGAAAAATGAAAAACTATAATAAGCAAGAGAGAGAGAAAGAAAATCCACTGAAAACACCTTAGCATGCATCTTATTAGACTCTTAAGCTAAAAATCAAACTAGTCGTCACTGATTCCAATTTATGGCAGTCTCACATGTTACAGATGAGAACTGCTCTGTAGAATGTTCTTGGTTGTCATCTACTGGAAGCAGATTGCCAGTCCATTCTTCTGCAGCTCAACCAAGTGTGCAGGTTAGCAGTCAAGTGCAAACTATCTGCACTGCACAGATGATTTTTCTGGACTTTTGCTATGCCTTTCGTAAATGAGATGCATTGTGCATTTGGATTCGTCACCAGCTTGTTTTACTTAATACCCATGCACAGATTTTTGTATAAATTATTGTTGTTTACTGATGGTTGAAAAGTGAAGTCCATGGTATGGATGCTGCATAATTTAACTACTTGCCTATTTCTGTACATTTAAGAAATTTGTCCTACCAATGTCTTTTTTTTTTTTTTTTTTTGCTATTTAAAACAAAACCAGGAATGCTTGGCCTGGTGAAGAAATATAAAGATGTGTAGGCAGATCAAAGGTTTGTTTCCTAGCCACTTTGATTAGCATGCTACATGTCCAAAAAGGTACAGAGTTTCTCAGGACTTCAGCACTGAGTCAATAAAAGACTTGTCTCATTTTTGTGGGCAAGACAAACACTGTCTGGACAACATATAACAGCTGTCAAATTTGGGCTGACAGAATGCACTGTTATCCTCAAATTTCTAAGAGTACATACAGGAAGATAGAGCCCAAGTCAACAAGCTAAGAAGTCACAGAGACAGAATGGGTTGCTTAGGGACAGTGGAGCCCCAGACATTAGAAGCATTCAAGTGCTAGATCAGATGATCACCTGCCCAAGAAGTTGCAGAGGGTAATCCTGCTCAGAGTAGACACGGAGTACATTCTTTGTTCCCTTCCCTCCTTCCTTTCTTCCTTCCATCCTTCCACATGTCTCCACTACCTCTGCATGCTAACACGGAGCTTCACATGATCTCTGCTAGTTTTTCTGGCAAGTTGAGTTCTGTCTCTTCCTATGTATATGTGAAGAAGATGAACTGCCTTAGTGAAAAGTACAGGAAAAGTGATACATTAACATGTATGGTCTTGAGAAAACATTTTAAAATAAATATTACTTTAATATTCACTCTTCATTTAACTTAGGTCTCCACGGCCAGGTCATTACATGAAAATCACATTATGCAAAAATTATAGCAGCCCAGGTCCAATCAAGACATTAAGAGTTCACATGTAAGCTCTATCTTCCAGGCCTGTTGGTATGGCCAGGACATAAGACTTCAGAGCCTGTGACAACTTTACAGCCCCATGAGTCTTCAATTGTACATATCTACATGGTAGAGTTGGAGTGTGGTTAGAGGGGCAAGGATCCAAGCTGTGGTGCCTTGGCAGCTGCTCTGGATAAAAGGGGGGTGCCAGGCAAGTGGCTTAGCTGGGCCTGTGCTGAAGACTGATGACAACTCAATACCTTGTCCAACTTCCAGAATTTGCCTTTCTGTGTCCCTATCTTCTCCTCCGTGCCCCATCTCTCATCTCTAGTCTAGTACCTCTACCTCCTCCTTCTCACCCTCTATGTCCTGAAGCCTTCTGGCTACACACTGGATTACCTGTGGTCCTCCAGGCCTCCAGGCCACAGTGACAGCATCCCCCGACCCCTACTTTCTGTCAGTCACTATCTTCTCTTCTGGCACTCCCAGGACCTTAGCCATTATAGCCTTGGCTCCCACTGCACACCCTGCCACTCACTTCACACCTTGGCACTCACTACCAGATGTGCAACATTAGTGCACAAAATGGCTTAATAGTAGACTTTTCACTATTGCTATAAACGAGAAACATTAAGTAACAAGATAGCAGATGAGTGAAGAGTAGGTGTACATGCAAGTTAAATGGAGGTTGCTTTTCAAATCTCCAATGACGCTGTTTTAAGGTCTACTTCTCTTTTGAAAGGAACTGTTAACTAACGGAACAGTAACTAGATGTTTCCACGAGTGACGCAGACATATACCAGGCATTGGCACCAAAGACTTAGGCCCGAGATACACAGTCAACACGGGCCAGAGTCAGTGTGGACACAGAACAGCTTCATGATTCATTTTATTATCTGAACTCCAGCAATCGTGGTCATTGGGTGTTGAGCAAAGGTGAGGGCCTGGGGCGCACTTTGCCTTAACTGTTTCTGGAACACACCATTGAAAATCCCAATTTTGCAATGCTACACGGAAACATGCCATTCAGTGCCAAACTGTGTCCACATGGGGTATGAGGAGAGGAGTAATCTCTACTCCTTTCTAGCCAGAATGACTCACAGGCAGGCTGCCGGTGGGGGGGTGGGCAGGTTTCCCAGTTTCACCATACTTGCCCAGTGCTGAGCTTGCAGGCCTGATGGTGCCAATGGGTCCTGCAGGGTATTCCTGGCAGCATCACAATGAAGCACCCTGGACCCTGGCAGAACAATTCGGTGCAGGCAACAGCTGAGGAGGCCAGAGCTTCCTGCTGCACTGGGCTGCAGTATCAACAACCTCTGTTTGGAAGATAAAATCCAATTGACTGCCACTTCTAGAAATGTGGCAGGAAGTTTCTGAATGACTTCCCCTGGGTCTTAAGGCTGTTACCTCGGTATTGCTAAACTCACAGCTGAAATGAACTTAGACAACACCTCATCAAAGCTGCAGAGTGAGGAGGCAGTGGTCCTGCGGCAGACAAGAACCTTCCTGCCAAACCAGGGCGATTTCATTCAGTGGGTCTCTTTTTTCCTGCATAATTGTTCAACAGCTGGGAAAGCTATCAGAGAGGAGAGGTAAAGTGGGTGTAGCTGAGCACTGTGGCTGGAAAAGGATTTGCAAGCTGGAGAAAGAAGTCATCTTACATGACTGTGTGTTTTCCTTATGTGCATTCTGAACAGGGATGCCCTGCTGGATTTCACAGGCGTGTTGTGCACGGTTCTGCCACTAAGTATCTGGGGAAATATTCAGCTTTTCTACAAAATAGGTCATCTTTCCACATTTGTTATGCTCCATGTCGACTCTGCTGAAATAGCCATAGCACAAAAGAAATTCTCCCTGGAGATACTTTCCTTAGACAAACATGTTCCCTTCTACTACCCTTTGAAAGCCTGGCTGCTGGAGGGGGCCAGGGGTGAGGGTTTAAGACCATCCCCGTTCTTCCCCTTCCTCATGAGGAATGTAGCCCAGAAACAGAATGTCTGGCTTTTGCTTATGCTTCCAAATCTATTAGGGAGTGATCATAACAAGTAAAACTAGTACTGACACAAATTATGCCATTGTTCTATTTCATCTAACCTGAAGTTGCAATTTTTAGGAAAAAAGATTACCTTTTAAATAACCGATTCATTATGATACATGAATGAATGCCATGTTCCCATGTTCCAAGTGTCACTCACCATTAAGGGTGTGCGCTCGTAAATGGCACTGATTTGCCACTTCCCCCTTACATACAGACACCCCTGACTGGCAGCCCAGGATAATCGGAGGCGAGTTTGTGGGTTTCCTCAGCTCTTAGCAAGTCACCTGCACTGCTGAGCACCTAATGAATCTCAATTCTGTAATAAGGCTTGTAAGTTTTCCCCTCCCTAGGTGTAGGTGAAAAGGAAAACAAGGACTGATGAAGTTCCTGCCAACGTAATACTATCAATTTCAAGGCAAGTTCAGAAATCACAGACTCTTACCACGAGGGTGTGTGTGTGGGAGACCACTAGAGTACCCCCTGGCCACAAACCGGGCTTTGAGAAATGAGAGGCGAGGACAGATCTGGATATGAGAGGGCAGGCAGATCAGCATTCAGCCCTGTGCTGCTCCCAGGGCCCCGTGGGAAACCTGCCTGCAATCTGGCAGGTGAACAATGTGGTGACTATTCTCTGGAAACCTCACTTCAACTTCATGAAATCCACACATTGTTTTTCATCATTAGTTTTAAAACATGCTGAGTATCTGGCCCTTCTCAAAGTGCTGTGGTGACACAAAGGAAAGGGAAGAGGCCAGGCCTTTCCTGTTCTCACAGGTCCCCTGCAAGCAGGAAAAGAAAGCTAAGACAGACAGATGCCGGGGTGGGGGGTGCTTCCAAGACGCGGCTGCAGAGGCTAGCCACCAGCAGTGGCTCCTACATACCTGATATGGCATACAAATTGGAGTGCTGGTACTCATAGTCAGTCCGGGTGCTGTTCCTGCCTCTGAAGGTAGCAGGTAGCGTTAAGGAGATGTGCCTGAGAAGGAGACAGAGGAGAAAGGGAGGTTACAGGGTGTATGGTGAGGTTTCCTAGATTGAGAAGGCAACTGACCGACGCCATCAAGAACCAGATGACAATGAACAGGAAGTGGATGCCCCAAGTATGACCTCCTCATCATCCTCTACTCTTCCCAGGGAAGTCAGCAATATTCAAGCATCCCCCTTTTCTCATATTAAGATGGACATCCAAGAGGAAGAAAAAGGCTCCCCAAGTCTTATGGCATGCCCAAGGTGCTCCAAAAAGGGGGAGTTTAATTAATTCTTTTTCCCTATTGAACCAAATATGCCAATGGAACCAAAATTCCTAGACTCTGAGCAAAAGTCTCCACTTGTTCTGCAATCTTGGTTTCATTATCCATTAAATGGTTTTCATTCAAGAGGAGTTTGGAAAACTAACAACCATTGAAAGTTGGGAGCTTTGTTCCTCTGAATGCCTATGACTGCAGAACACACAGTATGACTTCATGTTCCCGTCAGCCAAGAACACGCAGCTTAGGAAAGCAACTTCATCGATCCACTGCTACCTTTCATGGCATAGCCACCGGCCAGTAAGACTCACAAAGAAAACACAGCACCGGCAAGCATTTAATTAAAAGTAAATAATCCATTTCACATGGTTATCAGCTAGTGGAAAGTAAGATTAACACAAGAAAACATTTAGAATCTAACAATTCTGAAGAAAATGGGCCACCATCTACTTGCTAGTGTAATCTGGGGCTGGGTTGTAACAGTTCAGTGGCCCAAACTACTCTCAAAGGAAAGAGGATAAAGGGAGATGGACTTACTACATAAAGAAAGCTTTAATTGACAAGTTATTTTTCCCTACACAACAAATACATGGTCTTCTGGAATGATTCTTAGGTGTCAGGACTCCTAGGAGGAAAGGCTCTCTCTTTGGTAGGAGCAGTTCCCAGAGCCAGGGTTGAGCTGCAAGTTAAGGGAACCTCCCAGGGACAAGATGAGCTCTGAGGACCAAGAAGGCATTTGGTTTGCCAGGAGGTCGAGTAAGATTTGCTGGTGAACAACTGTGCCACCAACAGCCAGGTAGACTCAATCAGTGGGGCTTTCCTAAGCACTGGCTGTGCGCTAAGGGCTGGGGGCCAGGGGCCAACGCTTGGAGGTATATGCCCATTTGGTACTCTGAGGTGTACTGTGAATCTACACTGTGCACTCACTACTAATGCTGACTAAGAATATGGGGTGAGCTCTCAAGGGACAGAAGTGCAGGAACAAATCCCTGTGCAATGGGATATGTGCTGAAAGTAAACTATAAACTGGGGGTGAGAGTGGGACAAAGGTTAAAGGCAGGAATAACATGTTCTGTTAAAAAGGGATAGATCTTCTTGTGACCCTTTCTCAGAAGAGGGCATAAATGCTAAGGGAGTCAAAGGCACTCATCAGGTAGCTGGGGAGAGCCAACATTTCGGTGGAGGATTAGGATACATATAGGGACAGGATGGAAAGGACACCAAATGCCACTCAGAGGTCTCAGGTGAAGTCTTAGTGGAACCGTAGGGAGAAGGTTCCCAAGCCATATTCCCCAGATTATGGCATAAGTAAAGTCATTAGAACCATGTAGGGACCTGTTAACTACATAGACTCGTGGACTCCCACTTGGGGAGTCTGGTTCAGCGGTTTGGAACACAGCCCAGAGCCCAACCATAATTCTGAAGACCAGCCAGGTTTGGGGATTGCTGAGAGGGGGAGGAGCAGCTGCAGAAGGGATTTAAGCAGTTGATCAATTTCTCTGACCACAGCACTTAGGCAATGAAGCTGAGCAAAAGAGGGATGAATTATTGACTGTAGCTGTGGTTGAGCAGAACCCAAATGACGACAGGAGAGAGTGCCTGGCATACACCTGGCCCGGGCTCAGGCACAGCTCATGTGTTCTCTGCTTTTCACAACACCCCTGAAAGGCAGGTTCAAGGCCAGCTGCACAGTTTGTGAGGCTTAGTGCAAACTGGAAAGATGTTTTCCCAAAAAAATTATTAAGAATTTCAAGACAGCTATAGCAGAACCTCAAGCCTTGTGCAAGGCCCTTCTCAGTGTGAGACCCCTCTGAGTGTATGATCATATGGTTTGCTCATCCATGAAGATGGTCCATAAAAGATACTATCATCACATTGAGCTGAAAAGGAATTTTTCTGGTTGCTAGAGGATGAACTGTGCTTTGGCCTGCCAAACTTTTAAGATTCCTAAGCCTTAAAATCCTAAAAAGGGTGCATTCAATTAGGACAGACTACCTGAGTGGCAGTTTTGCAGGGTCTAGGGGCATGCAAGAAGGCTCATGGAGAAGGTGGTGCAATAGTAGTCTTTCTGGAGACTGGCAAACCTGAAGAGACAGCAAGTGGGTGAGCCAGGAGCCAGAGGTGCACATGGGGCAAGCTCCACCATCTGGTGGCCAAAGAGACGAACTCCTGCCCACATGTGTACTGACCTGTGAGGACGCTAGAGTGGAAGGGCACATAGAGTGCCTCACAAGAGGGAGGCATGAGGATGTCCAGTGTTAGACAAACTCTTGCTTACAAATAAGGTCATGTGCAGAAAGCAATGGACTAAGTGATATGAGGTGTATAGGCGAGAGGCTCTGTAGAAGAATTCCCTGAAGAGGGAAGTGATGACAAGTGTGGTGGGGAGGAGGGAGGCTCCTAAGTAAGAGGAAGCCTGACCAATGGGAAGATCTGGAGAGAGGCCCATGTCACTAGAGCCTGGAAAAGCCAGGAACAGAGTGTGGGTGAACAGAGGGCTCAGGCTCAGCCTGAGTTCCAACTCTGTCCTGACAATTTTTCCTGCCTGTGAAAAAGAAAGGAAATAAAACTGACCCATCATGGTGGGTGGGAATGATAGGAGCAAATGATGGTGGAGATTATCATGAACCAGCAACCAATTATTACTGGGCATCTACCGTGTGCAGACTCCTCACAATTTCTGTCCAGAGGACCTGCCCTATGGAGAAAATGCAGACCTCTATTTCAGGAAAACACTGTGGCACATAGCACTTAACAAGAAGTGAATCAGTAATAGAGAAATCAAGGGGTCTGACCTCTCAGCAGCTCCACTCAATCTGGACATCCCAGTTTTGCACTCTTGCTTCTCCAGGGCACGGAATTCTGCCTGGTTGCCCACACCCAGGAACTCTCCCTCCTGCGGCCTGCTTGTCCTCTGTCTCACAGATAGTTCTTTCTGGCTCTGATTCCTCTGATCTTTCAAGGATTGCTCTTTTCAAAGGGTTGGGCTTAACCCTCTTCCACTTCACACACTTTCCTGTGCAACCTAATCCCTCCCTCTGCCCCCAGTTTCATCAGTTCTCACAGACCACTTCACTTCTTCAATCTCTTCTCTTGTCATTGGCTACCTCTTCCTCCACCAGAAAGACAAAAAGTCTTAAAAAAATCTCTGAATGTGCAGTTAAAAAAAAACCTTCTGTCTGAACGAACCTTTGCCTGTGTTGCTCCTTGTTCTCAGGACTCCACTTCTTCCTCACCTAGTCCCTAAACTCCTTCCTATTCATCCTTCAAGGCTCTCTCCTAGCATCTGCTCTTTGGTAACACTTTCCCTAGGCTTTAGTTTTTGGTGTTGTTTTTTTTTTTAAATACAAGAGCGTTTATTCTCCAGAAAATTCCACATGTGGAGACTTTCTCCCTCAGTAGGAAGGTGGCAAGGGAAGAAGCCCCGAGTTCCAGTTCCCCTGCGCAATTGCTTTTAAGGCCTTCCTGGGTGCTACTTGGGCTTTAGTTTTGATGTCTGGATTTAAGTATCTTCATACTGTCTCCTATTCCAGTTATCAAAATATATCTTCACTTTTTTATTCAAGACTATCTCCTTAACCTTGTCCTCCCTAACAGTGGGGCTAAATTTTATTAATGTTTTACCCCATCTTGTAAAACTGTTCCATAGAGTAGACAATTACAACAGGTTGTATACATTTGTTTGCCAAATCAAGTGTTTAACTTAGTCTACTAAAACTCCTAGGTTTTCTAAATCAGGACTGCTATTAGCCTCTCATCTTTCATATCTACATGTGCATGCTTTCCCAATCAGCCTCAAGGGGTCTCTGTATTATGATTCCAACTTCTGCCTATGAAAGAAAACAGGTAATGATATAAAAAGAGATCACATGTGGAAGCAACAGCAATTTTTAAGGAAAATGAAATGGTGACTAAGCATAAACTTTCTGATAGCACACTAAGACAGTATGCAGCTCATACAGTAAACAGGAAATTGGAAGGGAATTTTAAATTGAAGACCTGACTACAGTTTTACAGAGTATCTATCTGCTTCATAGGAATCTGTTGAGCTGAAATCAAGTTACCTCAAACTCTAACTAAAAAAGTAGTTGGTACAAGAGTGAGTGTGGGGCAGCAAGGTCCCCTGCCGAGAGAAAGTATTTGGAAAGGAGGGTTCCCTGTGCTCTAAGCAGCTTCTCTGCATTTTTGCTTCTGCTATTTCTGGACAAAGGAAGCAGGGGACATGAGGACAAAAAGGCACATCAAGGCTATGTGTTAATGAGAATGTACAGTTTGGGCCAAGGGGACAGATCACCTGTGGTTAGACTGAATAAAGAAGTCACTTGCTGGAGGAGAAGTGGCCCAGGAGTGCTCTGTGTCAGATTAGCCTGAAAGTGACAGACTGACGAGGAATGACTCTAGAGTCGGCTGAGTCTCAGTGCAAAAGATATCCTAGCTCCACGGCCCCTGGTGGAGGCTCACGTACCAAGCTCAGGGCTGGGTGTGTGTGCACACAAATCACCCTGCCTGATCCACTCAGCAAGAGTTTTAGGTGGAAATAATTATCTCTGTTTACGAGAAGAGGAAACAGGCTCTGAGAATTAAAATCAACAAAGAGAAAGTGAAGAATGAATAAAAAGCTTACTCTTCATGTACATGGGACGTTATTATTGTTACCCTGACAGATCATTTTGGCTGTCAGGTAGAGTGAGGTTACTCAATCAAGAATGCAATGTCAACCCAGAGACCT